TTTTTTTTTCCACACTCGTGCTGCAACAGTTACTACCCCCGCATGCAAACATGCGGAAAACGATGACAACAAGGACCGAACGACGCTCCTCAGTCCGGCCGCAGGCCCACAACCGGGATTGCCCTGGTCCTCCCTTGCTTCTATTCTTGCTCTTTTGTTCTTTTAAACCACCAGTACCTTTCTCAGCTATCAATGCCGAGCCTAAATTCGAGCTGCGCGCCAAAGAAAAACGAACCGACGCACGCTCGAATTTGGCTGGCGCCTCCAGCCATTTCGCCGGCCCCAGTAGTGCCGAGGCTGCCCCCCGCCCGTGTTAACCGGCGGGCATTTGTTTTTCAAGCGGGGAAAGGTACTGGTGGTTTTGAGAAAGAAGTGCAACGGCCTTGAGAAGCTGAGATATCATCATTTGAACTGACCACCCCCAGGTAACTTGGAATTGCAGCGTCTGCTTCCAGTGGGGTTCCAGCTCAGGTTTGTGATTTTTTTTTTTTTTTTTTTTTCAGTGTAATCCAACCCCGTTAAGATTCTGGGGGGGGAACCAGTCTGGTTACTAATCACCGGCAAGCATGAAAAAAACAAGGATTAAAAAGATGAACTGAGAAGTTGCAAGAACCATAACCTTTTAAGGTTATCAGAGGGCAGGGGAAGACTAACTAAAGTACCCAGGCCTACCCAAAAATAAGCCCAAAAAAAACTCTAATATGCAACCAGACATCCTACCTTGTTTCTCCTTAAAACTAGAAACCAGGAATCAAAAGAGCTAAAAAAGGGAGATAGCTATAAAAGAAATACCTATAAAAGAATACGCCATAAAGCAGAACTCAGAAAATCTAAAAAAAGAAGTCCTATTTACGAAAGCGAATGGACCCCGGGGGGGAAGGGTCATTGACTCCTGAGTGAGAGCCACAGAATAGTCACAGGAGCAACAACGGACCAATCTAAGAGTACAATGAGTACTCAATAAAAGAGGGAGGAGGAGAATATCTATATTATTATGAGGATGGTGTGTGCAATGATCACGGATGAACGGATTAGTGCAAAGGCGGGATTGATCGGCCCCATGATTCATTTGAATCCTCAGGAGGGTTTGGGGGGCGCTGCGCCTTAGGATCAAACCAAGGAGGTGAAAGCGCAGGCCCGAAAGAATCTCTATTATTATTGAAATCAAAAGTGATGAAATTGTGGAAAGCGGCCCAAGCTTGTGCCAAGAAAGAGAGTGGGTCCACAGGTTCTAAATGATGCCTGGGCCCTGTGGAGAAAAGAAGAAAGAAAAATCAGAATGCGTGAATTCGTTCGCCTGGAAGCTCTGCCTGATTGAAAGAACCACCAGCCGTTGCATATGAAGTAGGGAGGAGCTCTCGAGTCTCGACATGTCCTGTCGCACACACGCATTCCTGATGGCCCAGAATGCAGAGAGGATTGCCACCGGAACCATTTCTGAAACATAGAGCCTCGAATCAGTTCCCTTTTTGATGTTTGCGCCCAACAAAATATCGGCCGCCAGATCATCAGAGAGCAAACGAGGGGAAGTAGGATGGAAATAGGGTAGAGCGGCAGCAGAGATGGTGGCTCTGATGCAGTAAGTCTCGCCGGAGTGAGGTAAAGAGGATTGATGAGGTGGGCTCCTTGAGTCAGTTTTTTTCTGGTTTAGGTCTAATGTTTGTCGTAGTCACTTCTGAATAGCTCCCAAATTGTTCTGAGTCAAAGCCGGGTAATGGCCCTGGTATTTCAACCTTCAATTCTATGTAAATTTCAATATGGGACGCTGGGCCCGGTTCCCAGCACGTGCTGCTCCCCACGAATAGATTGGAGCTGTTCCCAATTGAAAAAAAAAAAAAAAAAAAAAAAAAAAAAAAAAAAAAAAAGGGGAAGGACCCTGGCAAATCACCGGCCAAAGGTAATCCTTTTTGTTTTGCCATAGCCTTTTCTTGTGGTGTGGTAGTAGAAGAAAGGCCCAAATGAGTTCTTGCTCAAATGATTTCTTGTCTGGTCTTGAAGTTTTTCCCACACGTGATCGGACAACCAGGTTTTCTGACAAAGTGTCCTCCTCTTTCTACTTTTCTCTCTCCTTCTTCTTGTCTTTTTTTCGGGGGCTCCAGGATATGTATTCTGGACTGCAGGGGCGGTTGGACGACTCCATGCGCTGGGTTCTTGGCTGGAGAACCTCTCTCTGCGGGTGATATTCATAATGCTATCGCTGTTCGGCGCATCGTTGGCATCAACCCAAATGTGAAGACGAAGCCCCATCATCGGCTGTCAATGCGGTGATGGGATTCGGACTCAAGCCACTCTTACAGCTGCAGAGAGATGTGGTCCTGAGTCCTGACTATTACAAGCCAAGCTTAACAAGAGCAGCTGGTGAGCATCGCACAGTTTGCGCACACCCACATCTTCCTCGCAACGACATCAAATTGTGCAGCTGCATGCAAGATCTCCTGGAAGGATCATAAGCTTTGGAGTGGCGCGAAGATCACGATGGTAACGCTTCTAGCGGCCATGCTTGAGGTAGAGGCTGGGAGTGCTTGCGGAGGGATGAAGGCCAGTTCCGTGAATTGCAGTGTGTCATGTTTTGCTCGAAGAGCTCAGATTGGCGGGCGACGGCGCCGATGACAACCTTCGGACGTTAACCGGGGTTGCTGCAAAGGGTGGGAACTTTGGACCCGAGGATGCCAAGTGCGAACTTGGGACCAGAAGACCCAAACTTGGGACCGGAATACGGAACCCCTTTGGACCAGAGAATGGAGACTCTGGACCGGATCAGACGATGGATGCAATCATTGGACCACCTTTGGACCAGAGATTGGAAACTCTGGACCGGATCAGACTATGGATGCAATCATTGGACCACCTTTGGACCAGAGATTGGAAACTTTGGAAACTCTGGACCGGATCAGACGATGGATGCAATCATTGGACAAGAGGATGCAAACTGGAGGACGAAAACTCCGGACTGGAGGACGACACAAACTTTGAGTCAAAGGATGCAAACTTGGGACCAGATTGGAGGATGCAAAAAATGTTGGACCAGATGAGGATGCAATCATTGGACCAATGGACCCCAAAGGATGCAAACCAGAGGGCGCAAACTTTGGACTGGAGGACACAAGCTTCGGACTGGAGGATGCGAACGTTGAACTAAAAGGATGCGAACTTGGCACCGGATTGGAGGATGCAACTTTAGGACCAGCGGATGCAAATGCTGGACCAGACGGTGCGAACTGTGCACCAGGGGACACGGACGTTGGACTGGACCGAAGGTTGAAAACCTTTAGACAGCACCGGAGGTCGCAAACTTTACTTTGGAGTCTGAACTGGAGGACACAGTCTTTGAACCAAGGGATGCAAAACTTGGGACTGCAGCGGAGGATGCAAACTTTGTACCAGGATGTAAACTTTGGACTAGCGGATGTAAAATATTTGGACTGGAGGACAGAAACTGCAAACATTGGGCCACCGGATGCGAACATTTTACCCGAGAATCCAAACTTTGAAGCGGAGGAGGATGCAAAATTTGGGACTGGAGGACGCAGACCTCAGGCAGGATGATGCAAACTTCCAACTGGAGGAGGCAAACTGCAAACTTTGGACCAGAGGAAGCAAACTTTGGACCACAGGATGCAAACTTTGGACCGGAGGTGCGGACTTTGGACCAAAGAATGCACACTTGCAAACTTTTGGGAGGGAATTTTGGGACTGGAGGATGCAAACTTTTGGGACCGGAGGGTGCAAAGTGTCAATCTGCCCATTGAGGGAAAACTGCAAATTTAGTTGCAAAGCAAACGATGTGGATCACAGCGGAGAGGTGGTTGGTGCAAACTGCAAGCTTGTTTTAACTAAACCCCTGGCCTGGACAGGATTGGGACTGGATGGAACTGGCAAATCATTTGACCCCCCCCCCCCCCATCTGTGGTATGCAGTACTGCAAAAAAATGTGAGCTATGGGTTCAACAACGGTTAGCTTCGTAGTAATTAAATTTAGTTAAGAAACAAAGCAAAACAGCATCTTTGACATTCTTTGTTGACTTCGTCGACGATCGCTTGTTGTAAGTTGCTGACTTGTTTGATCACTTTCATAAGTTTTATTTCATTGTCCTAGGGGTTTCAACTTTTCAGTCATTCATTTATATAATATTAATGTCATTCTTCTTTCGCTCCCCCACTTAACGTTCTTCCAGGTAGGTCTCCCACTAGTCCAGGACTCCAGGTAAGTTATATTCTCTAGTAGAGGCACAATTGTCGGTTTGCTAGTGTCGTTGGTCACATGCATTAACTGTCATGCCTCTAGTCGATCCGTCCCTCTCATTCTCACAACCCTCATTTCCACTCCTCCTTCCCCTCTTCCCCCCCCTACACACACCATCCTTTCTTTTTTTTTTTTTTTCACTTTTTTTCAATCCCTCTCTTTCCTTTCTTTTGAAATTTTTACTTATTTTCAGTTACCGATTGACCATCCTCGCATCCCCTCATCGTAGCGGTTATCCCGAGCTCTTTGTTTCTTGTCCTTCTTGTTTTTTTTCTTTTTTCTTTTTTCCTTGTCCTTCGTGTTCCTTTTACCCTTACACAGGCTTACAGAAAAAAGACATTTCATTCACTGAATTGCACTCCTCTCTTTCATTTCTACATCCAGACCTGCTTTCCGGTCCTGCACTTTCGCGTTGTTACATCCATTCAGCTGTAGAAGATGTCATAAGGGACACAATTATTTTGCTCAAATTTGCTGTGTACCAGGACTGAACGATCGGGCCAACAACAACACAGCAACTGTGTCTGAGTAGAATTGTTCGAGCAACAAACGGCCAGGTAAGTGAGCCAGGGGGATGGGGAGGGCGAGGGGGAGGGGGGCGGTAGTCGACCGAGGAGGAGGACAGGAGAGAACTGGTGGAAGGGGGGTGAGAACAGGCAAGTAGCAATGAGAAAGGAATCCATCCTTTGAGGAAGGGGGGGAGCAAGTATATTCAAGTTGGAATCAAGTTTCACAACGGGCAAAAACAGCACGTACCGGGCAGGTCAGTCGCCCACCAAGTTCGAAAAGGCCAAAAAAAAAAAAAAAAAAAAAAAAAGCACTTGGTAATAAGCATGGATGTCAGCAAGTATAGGGGTGGGTATGATAGGAGCAGTTCAACCGGTGGACGATGAGCGAGAGGTTTCGGAATGGAGACCCTCGCCGTGGGAAATGGAATCAGGAGGACCGGCATTTGTTAGCGGAGAAATTGACGTACTCAATATAGTCAGGGCCCTAGATCACCGCATCCCCTTGCCGATCAGGCACCTTCTATCCATCTCGGAACAGGCCAACGACAAAATGCTACTGTTTCAAAATGATGAAGTGAAGGATGAGCTAAAAACGAACACATCACGTAAGCTTTTTTTTTTTCCCAACAGGAGTCGCTTTCTGTTGGTGGGGGGCCAGGACCTGCTGGGGACCCGGTAGCCTTACATAATGACATTTCACAAGCTTCTCGCAATGAGCATGCCACAAGGCCCACAACCACCACCCACCATGTTGTCCTCCAACACTACGCTCATCGCTCGCTCGCGTTCCTGCGACATCTGTTCTCCTCCGTTCTCACAGACTGCATTCAGCACAGTAATGTCTACTCTCTTCCACTCTCACAGATTGTCTTCGTCAGTCCTTGTCTTTTTTACCCTGAGATGCTCTCAAATACCGCCGTCAATCCATCCTTTTTTTTTTTTTTTTTTCCCAGAATCAACCCAGGCTGATGCTAGGGGTGCTGATAAGAGCAGGCACCGCTAGTATTGCCGGGGAGGCTCCATCTATTGGTGGGGAGCGGCACCTGCTGGAAAACCGGTCCAGCGTCCCTGTATATTGTAGTTGTTTATGTAAATAGACATGCAATTGGAATTGAAATGACTGCAGGCTACTAAGCTGTCCTATAGAGAGTGAGGTTAGGCAGGTAGGAATGCACAGCTACCGACTCTCTGCTTACCGCGTCCCGCTCCCTTCCTCTCTGAACCAGGCAGGGTGACACCTGCTGGAAACCGGGTCCAGCGTCCCTTTAATACATCAATACAGGCCAGTGTTGAGGCTATAGTCTTTTTTCTCTTCTACTCTGGAGCACCCAGTATCCCTTGGAGGTGCGAATTGGCCCATTCCCATTGCAGGGCTCCTACTTAGCAGCTGACCCAGCCTCCACCTAGAAGTTACCAAATAATTTTCTTGAGGGTACTCCCAGGTGACCGCAGCCCCCTGTATCATCTTGGCTGTTGTATATAATTTATTAAGTCTGAGGTAAATGCAGACATTACAGATGGTTCCTGCTGTTATGCCGTTGTTCAGTTATGCTGTATGCCGGAGTGATGCCTGGCCAGGCTGAATATGGTAGATGGGGGTAGGTGGATAGGGGCAGGTGTTACGATCCTGGCCAATTTCGAAGTATACATTCATCTGAAAGTACAATGCCATCCAATTGCAAAAAGAAATGAATGAACTTGAGAGGAAAGAGAGGGAAAGAAGAAGAAGAAGAAGTGAGAAAGAAGAAGATGATGATGTACTCCAGCATAGACCAATGTCAAGGCTCTTCTTCTTTGCCAACCAATCCCTTCCTCCTTATCTCCTCCCCTCTTATTCAAACAAGAAATAACAATAATAATGTTGAATGACTGAACCAGAATCAATGTCCGAATCCCACTTCTACTGCAGGCACAACATGAGGTCCACCATAGCCATGACAACCCTTCCTCTTCCTCTACATACAGGCCGAGGCTATGGTGGACTACTGAGGCTTCAGCCTCCTGTCCAAAGGACCACTCAAAGCAGCTATGCTGCTGCCTCTCTTCAAGGTCATCACCATGCAGCTATGCCGCTGCCCACTCAGCCACCATGCCTGACTCTGTCCCGAGCTTCCTTGATGCGGCACTACCCCCACTGGGGCCTTCCTGATGCAGCGCCTAGCAAGGAGATGAAGATGGTGTCTACCATAGCCAGTAAGTACCTCGCCACTCTCCCCCCTTGGTCCCCTTCTCCCTCCTACTCCTACCGGTAGAGCTCCACCATAGCCAAGGTGGAAGCTCCCGGCTTCTTCCTCCCAGCAGCGCTGTAGTGCCCAGCGCTCCTCCGCCTAGCGCTCCAGCAGCGTGACGCCCAACTCGCACACTGAAGAATGAGGCTGGGATCTCCGCCCTGCCTCTTGATATAGCGGCCTACTTGCCTCCTGGGCGGTGACTTCCAGGCTGCTCGGCCTCTCCAAGCAACCGGTACCTCCTCCGTTTCGGAGGGAAACATCATTGCAGACCCTGATATTACCCGTACAGGCTCTAGACTCAGACTGGTTGGACTGGTACCGGCCTAGACCTACCCTACCGCTACTGGACTCTAAAAATGCCAACTTTGTCTTTTTCTGCTCGG